ACATGCAATCAAACACTCATGTCAATAAACGTTGGCAGTGGTGGCCCCAAAATATGGCAATATACTGAATTTCCATTTGCAAGCAGTATTGTCAAAGGTACGCCTGGGCTAAAAGGAACCAAGGTTCCAAATTGCCCAAGGTGGTAAGTGCTTACCTAGCCACTCATCCGAGCAAAGCAAGATGCTCATCTTACAAAAATTTAAAACAGCATGAGTATTGTGAGCCACTGCCCGACTCATCTTCCAAATTATATTTTTTACAGGTGTAGTGCACTGAAATATCATTTGGTATCGATGTACCATTAACACTGCAGTCTAAAAATCACATGGAAAATCTTTGAAACTAGAAAAAGTACATATTCTTATTACTTTGGAATTTTCTGTAATCATTCACACTGAGTTCCACACTTGATATCCTGCTGAAGTCCTAAGAAAAAGTGTGCAAAAAATTATTGAAGTTCTTAACTGGATAACTAGCTTTACCACAAATAGCTACTTCAAAATCCTTTTCCGTCAAGTTTTACCATCAGTATTGTGAGCAACTTCCACATGCTTAACCAATCAATCTTGTGGCTCTTGATTACGTTACGAGATTTTTTTATAGCATGACTCTAGTGTTCTTATACCCATGGCTTGATGTAAGTAGACTTGTTTTGCGAAGAATAACTGAAACCTGCTGATCTTACATACATAGCTGAATTGCTCCTCAAATTCTAAAATGTATTCCTTAAACAGTAGTGGCTCTCCCACAGCTTAAACTAATGTGTGCTAAAGAACACACTCGGTACACACACATAGCATGCAATTGTCTCCAGTAGCCACTCAAAATAGACTAGATCTATGAACTAAGTCATTCAAATGTTAAAATAATTTCTAAATCTTACTGAATCATCCAAAGGTACCCCAGATCACCTCTTATGTATGTTAGCTCCCTTGGAATGTGATATAAGAGATGGCAGTGATACATGGAAAACTCATTTTGTATCCTTCCATTGACATCAAAAGCAAGTTAAGAATGGGAGAGAACTAAGACTACGAAAGAATATAATTATCCATGATGCTGTATTTGCTAAATGAACCAGAGATACCATTATAGTCTCTAAACTCACAATTCCAAGTTCATAATTGGAAGCCATATGGATGACGTAAGGATCTTGAGTAAATTAAATGACCAATTTGGTCCCTAGATAGGACACTTCCATTGTCTAATTGTAATGCTGGAATATAGTAATAACACTGTCTTTCAAGGAATTGGCCTACTGAATCAGAGGCCTTTATCGTATTTAGATTTGATTAGTTATAGTATAACAATAGATCAATAATCAACCAATAAAAGGCCAATCAGATTCAAGAATTTTAAAACATAGTATAAGTGTCCTCATAGGAGGAAAAGATATTCAGGAGACAGTCACATGTTTGGTTAAAGGTCAGTTACATGAGATGATTCTAAAAATCCTTGGACGTTTTTTTTCTTTTCCCTTCTGTATATAATACTACAGATAAATCAGCATTTCATTAGATGATAACTCTAGTGTCACAGTCAAACAATTGCAGACTTTATAGAATACAATGCGGATATTGGAAAAGGCATATTCAGTGTGGTGAAAGTTCCCTTTATCTTCTTCAAAATTCTTTTAGTTAGTTGCATTTCAATTACTTCCACCCACCAGTGTGGCATGTTTGATCACTCGTACTATGTTCGCATTGATGATGAGATACCTATAAGTTGTGACCAACAAAGAAAAGGCATACTTTTCCGATACCCTTCAAGGCAGCAAATCATATATAAAAGTGAAATCAGCAAGGTAATGCAAATTCTTCAAGAACAACTTCTTGAGCTGAGGACCATGATTCGTCCAACATCAACATCCACAAGAACGTATGATAGAAACAGGGGGAATAATTCGGCAACAGCAGCATCAAGCAAGCCAAGCCTCACAAGTTTCAAAAGAAGCAGAACTAGAAAAGGCAAAAGGGCGTCCGCGTTATACCTCCTGAAGGAGAGACTGCGGCGACCTCGTCCGTGGAAGAGGCGGCCGGGGTAGCGGAGACGGGAGCGCTGGCGCGACGGCCGACCCAAGAGTTCAGAGGGCGCCGGGACGGGCAGCGAAGTGGGGGAACCCGTAGGAGAATGGGCCGGTGGCATGGGAGGGAGGATGTCGAGGGCGCCGCCACCGAGACAACAGCCGTCAAACCTACCGGAGAAACGGCCATTTGAATCGGAGACGGGAGAAAGAGGAGGCGGAGAGAAGATAGACTGATGGCAGCGGAAAGAAACAGGTAAACAGGGGTTTGGGTTAAGGTTTCGTTGGTGGAGAGGGGCCGTCGTGTCATCCGTTATCTGATGACCCAACGCCGGCCTCTCCCTTCCATCGTTTGTCTTCTTCTTGGCTTATTTCAATTTTTTTTTTATTTTCTCGTAACATTTACATCCCAAATTTTGCTTCCATTAATTGTTTTTCCTTTTCTCGTAACATTTATGTCTCGGACTTCCATTAATTCTTTTTTTCTTTTCTCGTAAGATTTATGAAATCCTGAATTTTGCTTCCACCAATCTATCTTAAGGGATATCGCAAGGATTGTCTGAATTTGTGGTTACATAAATTACAAGAGATCCTACAAACACACTGTTCATAGTCTTCAATTCTCAGGAGGCTTGAATAATTTATTGTTTGATAATTTATCTCAAGTAAAATAAAATTGTTAGATATCAGAAAAAAATCATTTCCAATCTTGATGTCCAAAATTACCACGCAATAAACCAAAAACATTACATAATAACAAATCTGTAAGTAATTTCAAAATCAACTCATGTTCTTAGTAAGTACTGGTGCATTGGGTTTTTACCATCACAGTCATCATATCAATTTATCTAAAAAAATAATCTTATAATGATAAAAAAATTACTCGGATACCCACAGTTATCATGAAATTAGGACAAGCATTCTTAGAAAACTAATCATCCTTAGTCGAAATTATATTTTCTTCTTCCTCAGTAAAGTCACTCTCTCACATCTTTATATTCTCTCACATCTTAGACCAATATATTTTAAACAGTGTTAGTCAAGGATTAACAAGTTAGATCGAGCAATGGCCTTGCATTAAGATAATTGGTTGCCATTATGACCTCGATCAACATGCTCTTATCAAGCTTCACGTACTCCTCATCGTCATCATCATCAAAGTCCAAAAATAAGATTTTTTATTATTCTTGATTGGTTTGTAATGGTCACATCCACCACAATTTAACGCCCATCACTTGCCTTGAGAATGATATATTTTTCTTTCTCTAGTTTTTCTTCTGTGACTCTTTTATCAAGAGTCTCTTTTCGTTCAATCAACATGATTAACTTCTTTCGCAAGATATACTTCAAATCTGAAAAAAAGAAACTTGAGTTTCTAATTCCTGCAACTTAAAACTAGCTGTAAATTATGGGATTCTATGATTTCAAATATAATAGATTGAGCTACAGGATTAGTAAATTGTATTTATCCCATTCCACATCTAATGTGACCTAAATGTTAAAGCAAGCATATAGTGATGTGAGATACCCTTTGACAGCACAAACTTAGGTTGCAATTGTTTGGGAATAACATAGACTCTATGTCTTGTTTAAAGTGTCTTTAATTCATTCTAAGTCAAAAAACATAAATGGTTACTTCCTAAAGCGACTGGAAAAAGACAAAAGAATTAGTAACATATCATACTCATACCAATATCCTCCATATGATTTTTAGAGATATATGCCGAAGTAGATGTGCACTTTAAACAAATATATGAAAACAAAGTATTCTAAGTGACTTTATTTATTACATTCTCGTAGATACCATAGCAGAGAAGTTATTATAATTAGCATTGGTGTGCATGCAAGCATGACAGTGATACATTGTAGGAATACAATGGTTAACAAATCAGAAAACGAGAATTTATGAGGTTTAATGAAACTCTAACTTACAGTATCTGAACGCAAACAAGTTTCAGCATCCGCCGGAGAAAAAAAAACCAAAGAAAATAACTTACATTGATAACTGTGTATATGCAAATCTCACTAACATTATTAAACCCTAACCTGGGGCATCACATTTTGCTCAAGTTTAATCTTAAGCAATGGTAATTGTCAATACTTACACAGCAGATTAAAAATTCTAGGTCAAACTACTTTACCACGATTAAAGAAGCCAAGAGAAACATCTCATCGATTACAAAACGATACAAGCCAGTAGATTGATTTGGGTTTCAGCAAACTAATCAAAGAGACATCATGGATAATAAGGACAAGCGACAGCACGAGTTCTATACCTATCTCCTTCTCGACCATTTTCCACCGTCTTCCACTTCTCGCTTCTCCGGGCTGTCGATGGCACGCGGATCTCTTTTGCTCCCCTTGATGATTTGGGAGGAGGGTTGGGAGTAATTATAGAAGACGACCTGCCGCTTGGCCAACCCGAGTAATTAGGAATCCTAATACAAAATAAATTAGAACCTTTTCCTTGGTAACCTACTCCTATGTCCAGTTAGGAATTATTCCGTAAAATAATTCATCTATGTCCAATTCGGTGCAAATACCAATTTTTGGATATTTCCCCTGAAATAATTGACCTATGTTCCAGTAAGTGCATAATAATATGTGCCCTATAATTTCATCATCTACTGGTTACAATAATTTTATTGTTTGATATCCCTTTTGAACCTTGGACCACACTTGTATGATTGCCTGTAGGCAATCATGGGACCAAATACATTATACCCCCAATGCATGGATTAGAAAGAAAGTGACCAAGTCACATGGTGGATTAGGGACAAGCTCTGTAAACACCAATCAAAATTGGGGGACAAGATGGTAGGACTTAATCAATAATTCCCACCTTATTTCTGATTAGGCTGTGTCCTGATATCAATAAGAAAAATAACAATTGACAAAAGAAAACTACAATTTTATATCTTTTAACTCTTGAATCAATTACTCGAGCAATGGGAGCATCTTATCAGCAGAAGATGATTTGTCTCATAAAATGTCAGAAACCATGCAAAAGGAAAATATGTAACAAATAAATGCACTGTTCCATTGGATGTGCTAAAAAACCAACATTATCTCACAAGTTTCTCACATAAACTGGTTCTTGTATCATTATAATAATCTTCAACTACAAAACTGCAATCCTTGAGATGCAATTTGAGGTAACACTCAGGCAGCAACGATCACTATCATGCCCATATGCCTCGATTCCCCTAAGCATCTGAATTTTTTTGTGTGTCCTTCGTCTTGGAAGAAGTTGTGGGATCAGTTTCAGACTTCAGGATACTAAGTTGACCACCCTCCTTGCTAGCAAGAGATGCAGCCTTGATCTCATTGCAGTGGTTTATGAACTTGCTCAACTCCTGGATGCAAAAGTTGTTTGATATCCATCAAAATGATGTAAAGGCATTAAAATAGCAAACATTTTTAGGGTGATAGCAATTAAAATCTGAGTGCAGCTACACTTTTTTGTTCAATTCCTAAGAGTTCTTGGTTTAGGAAGCCTATAAGTGGGGCCCACAACACCCTTTCCGCTCCCTCTTTCCTAAACATACATGTCGCAGGATTTGTAGTGAGACATTTTCTGAGAAAGATGAAATTTGATCATCACCATCACATCTGCCAACCACAAAATCTGTGGCTAGAGAAACCATAAATTTTTTCCCTCATAGTACAATCAAAGCACTAAATTTTAGTCATAGTGCAATCTACCCCATGTAAAATTTTAGAGAAGAGAGCTGACTAATGGAGAAAGCAGTGGTGATTAGAAGTTGATGTCAATTGGCCCAAAGACAGAGATGATAGCAGTTAGTGACACTGAGATTTTATTTGAAAAGAAAATGAAACTTTGGAGTAATTGGACACTCAATTCCAGCTATCAAGCAACTTGCTCAAACAACTGAACCAAGCCTACTGCAAATCTTTCCACTGCTACTGGAACATAAAAATTCAAATTCATTTCCCATGGCTATAAAAAAATTCTAAATTTTAGTAGTCAAAAGAGTGGGTGCTGGGGCTTATCATTGACAAGGGAGAAAACCCTTACTAGATAAGATTCTAAGCGGATACAAACACATAAAATAAAAATCTAACAATGCAAATCCATTACGTTTTTAAGAACTAAATCTATATCATGATGATTTAGACTTATAACCCTCAAAATCATTGATAATTAACAGAACCAAACTCAAAGTTGAGTCCATGTTTGACAACAAAGAAAGTATAACATGTGTCTCAGAGCTATTCATAGAAATGCTACTTGGAAGGAATGAGTCAAGACAGGCTAAGGCAGGAAGTGAGGGTACATGGAGCCGACCGATCCCCACAAACGAATCAAGATTTCCTTGACTCAACTCATATGGCTAACTGGTTTGAGTTGGATGGAATTGACGAGGAAAGATTATTGAGTTATGGTGGCGCTAGGGGTGCTAGCCAACTACTGTAATGGTTTGTCCTATGTTGTGTCATCAACACAATCACCATGTTGATGAAGCATTAAGTAAAATCAAACAATTGATTAAGAGACCAAAATAAGCCAAAAACATGAAAAATGTGGTACTTCCCATCTCAAGCCGAGAGCTTGTGACAAATTATGGGCTATGATTAGCAAGTGATGATAAGCAACAAGCGTCAGTAAGGGGATAGTTCTTGATAAAATTGAACCTCTTTAACATGATGTTTCTCTAATTTGAGGAGAAAGACCTCCCAAGAAACTAAACTAGAGAACAAAAGAATACCTATCTATTGCTGGAAAAATGGAATAATTTCAAAGGGAAACTTTAAAGGCTTCCATCTCATATACATAACCTCTTATGTTTCCAAACTAGATGCATATTGACGGATAGCCATTTTATTTGGATACCCTGCCTGACTCAAATCCTATTCGTAATGGGAGTTTCTACATTCCTCAATTTTCCTGAATGAAAAAGAAGTCATACACGATTACATATAGCATGTTTTTTACAATGCAAACCATGCCTAACTTGGACCCAAATAGCCAAGGGATGTACTATAACTGTTACAACCCTAAACCTCAGTCAGATAATATAAAGATCATGGGTGAAACTTGTTAACCAAAACATTGGTCCAAGCAATACTATCTCATGCATGGCAACAACTTGATTTTCATCTTTGACTTTGTTTCAAACTTAACTGTAGATCAAACTTAACTGTAGATTCAACTAAAGACTTAAGCCCTCACTCAACATCATCCGTATGTACCTTTTAAGGATCAAGTTATGAAGGACCAAAGCAAACCATGATGTTATTGATTCTAATCAAAGTCTATGTGACTTCCTCATAACTTTAATCATGATTCAACACATCCTTTGATCTGCATGGAGGCAAGACACAGCTTGTTCTGCATCCTAATCCCTAAGTATATTTGATCAAAACTAACAATATGCTTTGGCTCTAGAACCTATCAATGGTTCAGATTGAGGAGTGATAACTTTTTAAGATCAAACATACAGGACATATACTACTTTCAGAAAATATTGTAGAACTATCAATGATCGGCATATAGCCCAGTATACCATCATCATATTGGTCCAACAAGATGCCCACACCAGTATCAAACGAAAATTTTAAACCTTGGCTGACGTATAGATATAAACCTGAGCAGTTATTTAATTGTGCAAAAATTCTAGCTGAAGACGAGGCTCCTTTATACTGATGCCAAAATTAATCCACTAACATTGAAAAGATTTTCCATTTGATTGCCACCTTGGTAATTATTAAAGTAAATATGAAAACAATAGAGTAGTCATCTAAGCAGAAATGCAAGATAATTTTTTTCATTTCTACTTTTCATTTCCTCCTCCAGTAAGATTATCAGGTGATTGAAATTAGAAAAGGAAAAAACACATGCCAATACACATGATGTTTCATGACAAATAGAAAAATAAAAAAAGGAAATATGGCTTCTTATCCACAAAATTTTCCAGGAAAGCATCAAACTGACATCCACAATCTGAAAAATGCATGTGTGAATTATGAAAATAAAATATAGACGATATAATCAGGTTTGCCGATGCTAAAATAAATAACAATATGACTGATCAGACAAAAAATAAAGAATTCGGAACAACAAGCGATATAATACACAATCCAGGGTACAGAAAGAGATCAAGTCCATCATTCACAGCTAATGCAACATGAAACATTTACAATATGGGACGGAAACTGAAGAGACCACAACATCTACAAAAGATAACCAAAGTGGAGAAAAAGGAGGGAACTTACTTGATCAGCTTCCATCTCCTTGGTGACCTTAGAAGGCTTCGTTGCCCTCTTACCTAAATCATGTCAAGACCAAGTTAGCTATAAGCAAGGAGAGCAAACAAAATTGAAAAAAAGTGGGGAACAACCTTTACGAGTGTGAGGAGCTTTGCCATGGCGACTGGGTGGGATAGATTTCTTCTTCTGCAGTCCTTTAAACAGATTCCCCTTCTGCGTCATCTTTCCTCACAGAAATTCCTCCCTCTAACAAGCCTTGGCTTCTTAGGGTTGCACCTAGCGTGGTTGCCAACACTTCTACCTCCGGCAGATCAAGCTTCGCCCACACTTAGGCCTGTCCTGGATTCTGAAGCTCCCCAAGCCCTACGTAAGAGAATTGAACAATTTTAGGATAAATTATATAGGTACAACTAAAATCAAATTAAATGACGGTAATTGCTTTAAGTTGTTCCTTAAAGTAATTTTTATATAAAACTAGTCCTTCAACTATATAATGCAATAAAACAATAATCAATGAGATACTGACCACAAGATATAATATACATATTAGAGACCAAAAGATGGGAAGGGTGATCTATCATAAAAAAATAGTGAGCTTACATAATTGTATAATTTCTGGATGCAGGTATTTACAGAGCAAATGAATCACCCATGGTTAGATTGGCAATTATAACAGCTTGATATGTATATTAAACGAAGATAATTAAGGAGAGGAGAAGAGAAAAGAGGAGAGTGAGGAGAGTAGAGAGAATGAGATTGGGGAGGAGATCATAGAACAAGAATGGAGGAGAGGAGAGAATAATACCCGGGAAAAGGCGGCTCGGCCAGCGGCAGCGGCGGTGGAACGGCTCGGGCGACGGCGAAAAGTAAGCGTTAGGGCACCAGGCGCACTCCGGGACTTTCATTTCTTTGACCTTTTATATGAAACCGAGTCGACCCGGTAAACTCGAGTCGACGTGAGTCTCAAAATCCGGTTCAATTTCCGAACCGACTCGCCCGGCGAGCTGTGGACTGAGATCGGACGATCATACGGTCTCGATCGCATAATCTTATCATCACGTTTTTGGATGGCATATATAACCTGGTTTTCCAAAGATGGTTTTTATTGTTGTATATATAACCGGCGGTATAAGATAGAAGGAACGCATCCTCTCTTTACCTCCCCTAAGGCTCTGTCAAAAGCGAGCCTTCGAGGCGATCATGGCCGATGGCGATGGGCTTTTGGAAATCCAGGGACGCAAACGCGCGACGCAGACCGCCTCTGTCTCCCTACCTGCCCCTGTTCCATCTCCGTCGATGGTGCCTGGCGCTTCTTCTCTCGACATCTTTTCCTTCACCCACACCCCTAACTACTGGTATCCTTCCTTCCCTCCTCTATGTATCTCTTAGTTTTTGTCTTTCTTTTCTGTTTTTTTTCCTTGCTCAATCTTTTATCACGCACAGCCCCCTATTCTTTGAGTAATTATTGTCCAGTTTTGCTTACACATTGGGTTTATTTCTTCTAAGCAATAGCTCAGAACTATTCAAGTGATAATTAGCCTTGTCGAGTTACGGATCTGGCTGTAGTTTTTGCCATTCCTGTAATATTTGTGTCATTTCTTGCATAGTCATGTTTGGACAAGAGAAGGGGACATCATTAAAAAACCCAAAGGGTCAGTTGAGTATATAAGGAGAATTAGTTGTAGCTAGGCAGTTCAATAATGTAGGAGAAAGCAACCCTCGTAGGGGGAAAAAGAAGAAGTCAGTCCAGATAATCTGTAAGCAATCTTAGGTTCAAATATTAACCAAATATCGATATTCATGCACATTGTGAACTGTAAGACAATTCAAAACTGACCAATTTGGTGTCAGGTTTCTTTAATTAGTACAACTTTTACTAACATTCACTAGGCTACTAACCAATATTTTTAAAAATAGCTTAGGTTCGTTTATGCTGTGTGCCCGACATCTTACATATACTTTTGTTTAAATGTCAGGCCATAGACCTTGAATCAATGTGTAGCAATTGGTGTTGAACTGGTATGCATATGTATTTGTGGTGCTGTAGCATTAATAATTTGGTTCTATATGCATCTACGAATGTTAACCCTTTTTAAGTTGGTTTTATAAATGCCTTTGCTTATTTGAGATCTCTTAGCATTTGGGTGGGAAGAATGAGGGGCAAAATGGAGTGGGATTCCTTTTGTCCTGCAAAAAATCAATGTTGGTAAATTAAAGAAGTGACATGGTCTGCATGAAAAAAACTTTGAAGCAGAACTAGTCAAATATTTCCTATGGGCTTGAATGTGTGGTTTCTTTTGACGAAAGTGATCATCTAATAAGCCTCCAAGATTTATTATTTGATAAAAATACCTATCGAATATTTATTTTGGGTACATGCTGCAAGCTTGATTCACATGAACATGTGTTTCATATGAATTAGAATATGAAAGGTGCCAAAGTATAATTTTGTGGGACAAAATTGAAAAACAAAGCTAGAGATTTATGGTGTGCTAATAGGACTTAGTGCCTTCTACAAGTGCCTTCTTTCTTTGAGCGAAGGACCTCTCTTGTTGGAAAAGAGAAAGAGAGGGATATTTGAAGAGTAGAGGACAGATAGAGAAGAACTAGGTACAGTATTGTATAACTCAATTTGTGATGCCGCTAGTGGTTTATACTATTTTTTGTTTCTGTACTGTAATCCTTTCAATCAAGGCTTAAAACATTGGTCCGATGTTGGTCAGTGACTGGATCAGTGTGGTACTAGGACAAATCAACATACAGTATTGGTATAATCAAATGACTGGAATGTAGGTTAAATATCTGGAATACAGATAATTGTCGATAATCAAATGACTGGAATTATGATTTTCCATGCAAAAGTCTTGTTTCGTTTCATTTTGTTCTTGAACCCTTCTTCATCTTTTCTAGAAAGCTCAAGATAAAGAAAGTCCACTGGCTTTGATAATTTTAACTTCAATTATGGTGTTAGACATAACAGTATTGTTTATGGTGTTGCTTTCTAAGTTGAATGCATATGCTTGTTTCTGTAACTTTTTAAGTTAACATTATCAGGTTAAAGATTCTTAGTTTTTTTTTTTTCTTTTATAGTGAAGAGAATGTATATCTGCTCTGTAAGAAACTTTGTGAGGTTGGGGCTGCTGATCCAATGGGTGCTGATCTTTTTGTTGTCTTCATATCCAACGAAGAGAAAATGGTATACTTCTATGATTTTGCTTGTTTACCTTTAAATTGTTATTGTTCAAATCTTATTATGCTAACTGAATGATGAAATGCTTTACTATAATATTGGCCATTTTACTTTAGGGAGGCATTTTAGATGACATAATGATGTGCTAGAAAATTTCAGTGTTTTTAAGTAATAAAGTTCTAGTCTGACAAAATCTTTCTAGAGTCGATTTTGTTTTGATTGTTCTATTTCATCTTTGTATGACAACGAACAAGTCTGTAATAAATCATAATCACTAGAATACATCAGAAACTGTAGTTCCTAGTATGGTAAAAGATTTCCTAAATGCATATTTCAAAGTTTAACAGACCTGACCCTGAGCTACTAAAGGAAGCTTTCTCTTGTCCTCAGCACCATTTCATAGAAGTCTTTTTGCAAATGGCCTCAACTGCTCATGTAATCCTTTTAGGCAAAGAAAATGGTCTTGTCCAATAGATATGCACACTTAGAAGTATTGATATAATTATCTCTCACCTTGCAGCATAAGAGAAAATTTCTGATCCTTTAGCTCATTCTTTAGAAGGTGGTGAAGAAACTCTCCCCATCGTCAGTGTGCTTGTGGTGGAAACCTTGATTTTGTGCTTCAAATAAAAAGGAGTTAATCCACACAAGCACCTCCACTAGATCCAGCATCTGAGGATGCTTAGAATACCGCTCCATGGCAGTCGACCACAAGCCGATCATTAGCCAAGGAGGACCTAACAAAAAGTCATTTGTCTGAGGGTAAGGACACCCTGGGTAGGAGATCCTTTCCCAAGTCCCTAGTATGAGAATATGCTAATTTGATTTCTTTTATCTAACAACCCTTTTAAAGTAATGAACATATATCTAAAATGAGTACTATTTTGAGCTTTACCCTTGAGCTTTATAAAGGGCTGAAAGCTTTTGCTAAAGGAGCCATGAGAAAAGTTTTTGATGAAATTATGTGGCTGTTGGATATTGCCAGAAGAAAGTTATATGAGTGTCACTATCCTTCACAAACTAGTAGTTCAAAGGAAACCGTATTTTTCATTCGTGAAATTATGGAAAGATATCACTTTACTTACCTGATTTTAGGCCTAATTTCATCAAGCCTCCTCAAGATTCATTTCATATCAGTTAACCTACCTGAGTTATTCTTTATTATCATCCCAAACTTTCTGTGACCTACATCACATCAAAAAAATTATGACAAAATTATCCTTAGTATTTAAAAAAAATTATATTAGGAAAGGCATAACCTAGGTATTTTAAAAGATTAGCTGCAAGAGTGAATTACTCAAATTTGTTGACGTATTAGTCTATATAATAGCAACAAGATGTTAATCTGGTGCTAGCATGGACTATATGTGGGAAAGTTTTAAATCTCAGTACAATATTATTTTCAAAACCTTGTCAGACCGGTACATTACCAGCATCTCTGATGGTATATTTGTTTTTATCATTTGGTATCACTGAAAAGAACAAAAAAAGAATACTAATTAATACTGAGCTATATGGTTCAGTGGTGGATTTTGTTTGGACTGATATATATCAGTTGGTACATGATGTTTTGTTGTGTTATGACATGCCACGTCAATGCCACTTGATTATCACATCAGCATAAAACAAGTGTCTGGCATGTTTCATCCCAAATGGGTCTCCATGTTAACCATATCGGTGCCATCCATTTAGGAATGTTAACACATCATTATGATATGTATATAGATTTAGTGAGGGTCATAGCAACACTTAGCATCGAGCAGGAAATGGAAGACCTAGGATGTCAATTACAGGTTACTCAGTTGGGTTAAATGATTGAAATAAGTTTGGGTGGGATTAGGAATTTGACCTGTTCAGGTTGGTATAGTCATATTTATTTTACTTAAATATTATAATTATCAATTTATATTTCATGGTCTCTAGATGCCACTATGTTGACCATTACATTGTTGTTAGTTGTTACAGTCATGTAGGACATAAGATGATGCATCTGTCTTATGTATGTTATTGCAAAAAGATAAAATGTGCAGTTTATATGTCCTTAGTTGTACATCTAATCTCCAAAAACTGATATACGAGGAAATTATTATTTGAAATTTAGAAGTAACATACTTCGGCATTTGACAGTTAGATTGTTAGCTATCTTTGTTCATCTCATCTCTAACTTATTTCCATTTTACCTTAACTGGAGATAT